CACGAGCGGTTCCCGTGTAGTTTACTTGTTTCATCAAATCAAAACTCAAAACATCCATTAGAAAACAACAAGCATGTGCATCAAGTTTATAGAGAACTTTTTAAGCTTTGGTGAGATTTCTATGATCCAAGACATGAGTGAGACCACTAGTGATAATCCACTAAAACTTAGGTCCCTTTGCACGAAAATGATCAAGCATGTGATTTTTTCAAAGTGCAAAGTTTGTGCCATAAAAAATGTGAGTCTCACAAACATCTAGCCCACTAGACACCATCCTCTCGGGTCGGTGAAGACCACAAAAGAGAGACCAAGCTCTGATACCACTTGTAAGGTTAAGATGGAGGACGAGAGGGGGTGAATAGTCCTTTCTAAAATTAATCGCGTCGGCTAACCGAAACAAGTGCAGAATTAAAACTATCGGTCTAGCTAAGACTATACCCCTTTATTTATGTTCTCTAGCACCTTTCAATGATACTAATTAAGCAACAAAGGTGCTAGGCTAGCTAGAGCTCACCTAACCAATTCTAGAAGCAAGGTCATATAAACCTATGCCACTAGTACTTCAAGCAACAAGGGAGCTCCTACACAAGCTAGTAAGCAGAAGCACAAAGCCACCTAAGCACACTAGCAATGCTCAATAGCAAGGCAACCAATGCCAAATTAGAGTGCGCAAATACTTAGCTACAGAAACTAAGCAATGTGACTAACAAGGTTACACAAACCAAATTAGCCACGCAAGGGAGCTACTTCTATGCTACACAAGCAAGAAGGTAACTAGTAAGCTACACAAGCTAACTAATTACAAGAGCAACTACATAAGCACAATGTATATGAAATATAAATACAAGCTTGTGAAAGGGGATTGCAAACAACCGAGAAGAACAAGGTTGACACGGTGATTTTTCTCCCGAGCTTCACGTGCTTGCCAACACGCTAGTCCCTGTTGTGTCGACCGCTCACTTGGTGGTTCGGCGGCTAATTGGCATCACCCGCCAAGCCCGCATGTCGGGCACCGTAAGAACCTACCCCAAAAGTGAGGGTAGCTCAATGACACGCTTTACTAGAGTTGCTCTTCGTGGCTCCCGCGGGGCGAGCACAATACCCCTCACAAAGCTCTTCTCCGGAGCACCGCACAAGCTTCTTGAGGGCTTCGATGGAGACCACCACCAAGCCATCTAGGAGGTGGCAACCTCCAAGAGTAACAAGCACCACCGGCTTGTAACTCGATCACCTAGTGCCACTCGATGAAACCTCACGATGCAATCGCACTAGAATCGCTCACTCACACAATCGGATGATCACTATCAAGCATATGTGAGATGGAGGGCTCCCAAGCACTCTCAAGCATGGACACAAAGTCCCCCAAGGTGCTCAGCACCTGCCATGGCCGAGACACCTTTCTATTTATAGCCACACGGGCTAAACTAGCCGTTACCCCTTCACTAGGCAAAACTCGGGACGACCAGACGCTCCGGTCGTATCGACCAGACGTAGGACCCCAGCGTCCGGTCGTGCGATGCACGCCATGTGTCCCCTCTGTTCAAATACCGAGCGTAGGATACCAATGGTCAAGTGATGACCGGACGCAGCGCTCAAACTGACCGAACGCAGCAACCCCAGCATCCAGTCGTTTCCAGTAAGGTACTAGTCGCGACCGAACGCGTTCGGTCGATCACGATCGGACGCAGCATCAGCATCTGGTCCTTCTCCTCCTTCTCTGCATCGCCTACATCACCGTACGTTAGCCTGACCGGACGCACCCTGCTAGCGTCCGATCACTTTCAGCGCTAGCGTCTGATCCAAGACCGACGCCTGCACGCTCTCTGCCGCCACTGACCGGACGTAGGACCCCAGCATCCGGTCACTGCGTGACTAGCGTCCGGTGCACTCTATGAAATCCTGTCTTTTTTATATAGGGCGCCGGTGGCACCATCGGACTGTCCGCACTCTATGAGCGGACACTCCACCGGTGAAGTTTCGAACCCTTCTCGCCTCCATTTCATCACCGAGTTGATCCTCATCAACTCCGACTTCATCTCCTTTGTAAATGTGCCAACACCACCAAGTGTACACCACCATATGTATGTGTGTTAGCATTTTCACCATCATTTTTCAAAGGATTGGCCACTCAATCCTAGCGACGATGCAAAGTTAGATCACTTGAGTGTCACTAGATGACCGATATGCAAACAAGTTTGCCCCTCTTGATAGTACGGCCATCTATCCTAGACCCGGTCATCAACTTCTCTACACACCTATGACCGGTGAAACAAAATACCCTAGGTTATACATTTGCCTTGCGCATTCCATTCCATCTCCTCCAATGTCGATGCAACACATGCACCAACATGATCAACAATGATATGATCCACTTCATATCATCATGTGATCATATTGGTTCATCAATCTTGACTTCACTTGCTTTTCACTATTGCCTTTGTCCATCGGCGCCAAGTCTTGATTAAGCTTTACCGCCACGCGGTCCATCGCTCCAAAGCCTCCAACTTGCCCTTCACGCTTGCAACCGGTCCATCAAGCCAAGTCATGTCTTGATCTTCTCCACCTTGATCACATGGCTCAATGTCATGTCTCATTTGCAATGAGCTCCTTCATCATCACATGTGTGAGCTTTGCAACATCTTCAAATCATTTTCACCTTCACGGCATATATTGCTCACACACATGTACATGTGGACTAATCACCTGTGTATCTCACATAAACACAATTAGTCCACCTAGGGTTATCACTTAATTACCAAAACCACACAAGGACCTTTCAATGGTCTACAGAAAGAAACCGCCTATGGCTAGAATGCAAGGTTTGCTCATGTACTTGCTCATCTGCACTAACAACCATTCTATAGAAGGATTCGGCAAAACCAGTTGGTGTTTCATCATCTAATGGTGGATGCTCACCAGCTAAGTCAACTAACATAGCATCCATCCGATCTGTCTCACCAAATCTCTCATGTTCTACCTCAGAACCATTCTCAAGGTTCTAATTTCCCCGCCTCTCACCATGTGCTGTCCAAGTTTGGTAATTTTCCTTGAACCCATTGTGGCACAAATGCAACTCTATCCTAGGCCTTTTATGCCTGAAAAAATTCCGGCATATGGAACAAGGGCATCTAATTGTATCAGACTCAACTAATTCAAGGATTGAGAAGGCATGATCCAAAAACTCTTTTGTTTTGTCAATCCATTCATTTGATAGCCTACCACGCTTCCAACCACTATATATCCACCCACGATCTGTCATATCTTATCTGCCAACTTGAGTCAGAAAATAGGAGCTAACCAGTAGCTAGAAGAGTCACAGTAGTTGTCCAAGACTTCGAGGCCAGCTCACAGACGGAGCTAAATAAAGCAGCAACAGGCAACTAGATCAAAGTGAGGAACTTGTTACCAATTTAGACATAACACAAATTACTTCAGTCAAACAAAATAAAAATTCATATAAAACTAGTAATATAACACTAAAAGACATAATAACAAATTTCTATCCAGCTAGTACACCATAACTAGTGAATCACAATGCAAAAATAGAGCGGTAAAAGCAAAATTAGTCACTGAAATTTGTGTTATATCTAAATTTACGCAAAATATAGCAGATCACAACAGCTAGCAACCAAATAGCAGCTAATTCATCACAACAAGGCTATCACAGATGAAGAACATATATGCTAGATAATAATTTGTGTAGGGAGAAAGGAAACCAGGAAGGAGAGACAAGGCGTGGTCTGACCTTGCTGTTCGACAGTGATAGGAGAGTTCTTCCAGATGGAGTTGTCAGATCTGAGTTGGTAGTCCAGGTTGCTCCCGCTAGACATCCGCTGCTGCAAGAACAAAGAAGCCCTGAAGCGAGCAGACGAAATGGGAGGCAAAATCAAGTCAGATGAGAGGTCAATCAACAAGGACGGAAGCAACTTAATTACAAGATGTAAAATTGATTTTCAATCTAAATAGGGAAAAATCGAAGGAGGAAGAAATCGAAATCAAAATCGACACAGCACCTTGTGGCGTTGGAGGGAGCTACTGTCTTAGGCCCACGGCGTGTGGTCACGCTACTGGCCGAGGCGGACGGCGTGGTGGATGGGGCGGCGGCGACGGCACTGCTGGTTGCTCAGTGCGGCGGGGCTGCTAGCCACCGGGCAGCGATGTCGTGCGGCGCAGGTAGCTAGGGCGGCGACGGCCGCTGGAGGCTTAGGCGGCACATGGCGCAGGTAGCTAGGGCGGCGGCGGCCGCTGGAGGCTTAGGCGGCACATGGCGCTGGTGGCTGGGTGGGATTGCACGGGGCACGTGGTTGGGCGGTGGCGCACGGTGCAGGTGGCTGGGCGGCGGCGCCTGTGGTTGCGTGAGGAGAAAGAGGATTTGGGGGAAGAATAGAAGATAAACAGGGTGTTCGGCTGGCTGGCCGGCTGAGGCTGGGCTGGCCAGCTCACTCACAGAAGTACTGTTCACGTGAACAGTATTTTCAGATATAATAGTATTTTTCTCTTACAACAATCAGCTAAAACAGTATTTTAATTTATTTTTCAGTACTGCCCAACAGCCTCAAGGTCGCGCCGTCGCTGGAGTGAAGCTGAGGGTCACGGGCGTCGGACGCGGGGCGAAATAGTTTCTGCATGCATCTCTCTCTTTTTGGTGGGTCAGATGAGTTCGCAGTAGCACGCCAACCCAAATTCTGCGCGCGAAAGGCACCAGGAAGCGCGCGCGAGTCCATTTGCTGCCTGCGAAAAGGACTAGAGCATCTCCGTGACGGTGCCCCACCGACGGGAGATACCTCTCCAGACGGTTTCACTGCCACGCCAGGGATGCTTCAGTTCTGCTGACGGAGGACGCGGGGCCGAGGGGAAAAGCAGCTCTGCGAAAAGCAGCTGGGGTAGTGGCATGTCGCCTACCGCACGGACACGACGACACCATCATGCTCCAGACGCTTCTGAAAAAGGGCCCGCCACCTTCGTCCTCACCGCTCCCGCTCCCGCGCCTATATACCGCCATGGAACCCGCTCCGTCCTTCTCAGCGACCTTGGACAGCCAGCGCCCAGCTAGCATAGAGAACAGCAGCCAGCCATACACCATCCGAGCGAGAGCGACCCTCTGCTCGTTCTTGAACATCGCGCTGCCAATGGCGCCTTCTAACGAGTCGAAGCCGACACCCAAGGTCGCCGCCACTGCCGCCGCCGCGGCGCCCAAGCTCACCACCACCGGCAGCACCGCGGTGGCATCCAAGGCCGCCACCCCGTCGTCGTCCGCGCCGCCGTGCCTCTTCTCGCTGCGGGACGGCGCGCTCACCGTCGGCGGCGGGACCGGCAAGGCCGCGGCCGTCGCGCTCCTCACGGGCGTGCCGGGGAACGTCACGCTCACCCCGTTCGCCGAGGCCTTCGACCCCACCACCAAGGCGTCGTCGGACGCGCCGGAGGAGCTGGCCAGTCAAGCCGCCGCGAACGCGAGCCGGGGTGCGTTCCTGGGCTTCACGTTGCCGTCGCCAGCGAGCCGCGCGCCGTGCCGCGTGGGGCGCCTGCCCAGCCCGCGGCGGTTCCTGAGCGTGTTCCGGTTCAAGACGTGGTGGAGCACGGCGTGGGCGGGGCGGCGCGGGCGGGACCTGCAGATGGAGACGCAGTGGGTGCTCCTCGAGGTGCCCGAGCTCGCCGGCGCCGGCGCGGGGTACGTGTTCGTCCTCCCGCTCGTGCAGGGGAGCTTTCGGTCCGCCGTCTTCCCTGGAGAGGACGACGGCGTCGTCGTCTGCGCCGAGAGCGGGTCTGCCGCCGTCACGGGCACCGATTTCCGACGCATCGCTTACGTGCACGCCGGCGATGACCCATACAGGGTCATGCAGGAGGCTTACCTCGCCGCCAGGGTGCACCTCGGCACGTTCAGGTTCGTAGTTTGTTGCTAGTACAAAATTTCGTTCATTCCTTTGTGATGTGACCTGTGTCAGTCTCGACCCTTGATTTCACGATCGGACGGCTGTGATTAACTCTAGAACTGGAACGCAGGTTGATCCAGGAGAAGGCGTTGCCGCCGATGGCGGACCGGTTCGGGTGGTGCACGTGGGACGCCTTCTACCTCACCGTCGATCCGCCGGGGGTCTGGCAGGGCGTGTCGGAGTTCGCCGACGCCGGCGTGCCCCCGCGGTTCCTCATCATCGACGACGGCTGGCAGAGCGTGAACCGCGACGACGACCCGCCGCAAGAGGACGCGCGGGGCCTCGTGCTCGGCGGCGACCAGATGACCGCGCGCCTCTACCGCTTCGACGAGTGCGCGCGCTTCCGCGGGTACAGGGAGGGCGCCCTGATCCGCCGTCCGCCGGAGGTGTTCTACGATAAGAGCATGTCCAAGGCCGTCGTGCGCAAGGCCGCGGAGATCGAGAACGCCGGGAAGGCGAAGAAGAAGGCGGCGCAGGGTGGCGCCACCGACCTCTCGAGCTTTGACGCAAAAGTCGCGCAGATGCGGCGAGAGCTCGACCAGCTGCTCGTGCAGAGGGACGCCATGCTGGCGAAGCTCGGCGACAACGACAGCGACGGCGAGGTGGGGCTGAAGGCGTTCCTGAAGGACATGAGGCGCAGGTTCCCGGGGCTGGACGACGTATACGTGTGGCAGGCGCTGTGCGGCGGGTGGGGTGGGGTGCGCCCCGGCGCGACGCACCTGGATGCGCGCGTCGTGCCGGCGCGGCCGTCCCCGGGGCTGGCCGGCACAATGGAAGACCTCGCCGTGGACCGCATCATCGAGGGAGGGATCGGCCTGGTGCACCCCGACCAGGCCGGCGACCTCTACGAGTCCATGCACTCGTACCTCGCCGGCGCGGGCGTCACCGGCGTCAAAGTCGACGTCGTGCACACGCTGGAGTACGTGTGCGAGGAGCACGGCGGGCGCGTGGAGCTCGCCAAGGCCTACTACGACGGGCTCTCCAAGTCCATCGCCAAGAACTTCGCCGGCACGGGCATCATCGCCAGCATGCAGCAGTGCAACGACTTCTTCTTCCTGGGCACGCGGCAGGTGGCCATGGGCCGCGCTGGCGACGACTTCTGGTTCGAGGACCCCAACGGCGACCCCATGGGCGTGTTCTGGCTGCAGGGCGCTCACATGGTGAACTGCGCCTACAACAGCCTGTGGATGGGGCAGTTCATCCTCCCGGACTGGGACATGTTCCAGTCCGACCACGCCTGCGCCGCCTTCCACGCCGCGTCCAGGGCCATCTGCGGCGGCCCTGTCTACGTCAGCGACTCCCTCGGCGGCCACGACTTCGCCCTGCTCAGGAGGCTCGTCTTCCCCGACGGCACCGTGCCCAGGTGCCTGCACTATGCTCTCCCCACCAGAGACTGCCTCTTCAAAAATCCGCTCTTTGATCAGCAGACCGTCCTCAAGATTTGGAACCTGAACAAGGTCAGTTTTTTTTAATGTACCATACCATTTCTTACACAATGCTCTTTGTTCAGATTTGGAACCTGAACAAGGCACAGACACAATCGCTGATAGTTGATCAATTTTTTTCCAAATATCTGGATCAGTTACTAATTGCGATGAACAGTACAGTCCCATGGGGGTGGTATCCTACTGCTTTCATGGAGGCATCAACCTTTATTGCATTTCATATATTTGTTGCCCACTCTTAAAATCTACTAGCGACGGCGGCATCAGGGAGGGTGCATGCATGCTTTCAGTTCTTGAATTGTTGGTCTTGACAACTAGGATCCCATGTGGCATGTAATACCATCAGAATTCTGAAACTGTCCAAATTAATTTTTGCAGTTTGGAGGGGTCATTGGGGCATTCAACTGCCAGGGAGCAGGGTGGGACCCCGTGGAGCACCGCGTCCGAGGCTACTCACACTGCTACAAGCCGGTCTCCGGCGATGTCCGGCCTGCCGACGTTGAGTGGGGCCAGCGGGAAGACACGTCGGCCATGGCGAAAGATGCATCATACGCTGTCTACCGATGCCAAACCGAGGAGCTCCTCCTAATCACACCAGATTCAGAACCCATCCAGTTCACCCTCCAGCCATCGTCCTTTGAGCTCTTCACGTTTGCTCCGGTCACAACCATCGGTGGCGGTGCCGCCAAAGCGCGCTTCGCGCTGATCGGGCTGGTTGACTTGCTGAACTGTGGCGGCGCCATCGTTGATGTTCAGCACGGCAGTGGAGGCGAGGTGATGATGAAGGTGAAGGGGGAAGGACGGCTACTGGTGTACTCTGACGTGGCACCGAAGAAGAGCCTGGTGGATGGCTGTGAGGCTGTATTTGAATGGGAAAATGGCGGCAAGCTGATGGTCGATGTGACGTGGAACCAGGAGAAGGATGGTGTCTCTGATGTGGTCTTCTGTTTCTAAGAGTGAGATGTCGTGCTGTTATGCTCATGGAAGCAACAATGCTTGCAAGTTGCAGCTGTTAATTCTTTTCCACTTTTTTTTTTCCTGATTTTGTATGGTGTGATAAACTTAGTTTATTATTTGTGTTGTGTGGAATTTTGTACTGTTTCAAAAAGAAGTGAATTAATTTGAAGAAATTCTGTAACGGCTTGCCCTGCAATGGGAACCTTCTACTCTACCTGGATATTGCTCATAGTTGTAGTGGTCAGTGCCGGAAGTTTCTCCTTATTCTAGAATAAAACTAGTAGTGGTCAAAGAAACCAAACAGATAAATTTGGTTTGTAATTTTGTATGGCTCAGTTTCCTTCACTCTAGCAAAATTATGGTCCCAAATAATCATAAACCCAGTAGATGTGAGTTCAAAAACCGCATTCCCTGTGACTTACATCTTGTCCAAATTTAACCTTATTATTCTAATTTTATCAAAAATCATATCCACTGGAGATCTCCTGTGGTAGTACTACTGGAGCTTACCACCAAAGTTCTTCCTGTCAGATATTTGGGCTCAGGGTGCCTTCACCGCCCGTATACACGATCCATGCCTGTCTACAGGGCCGAAGACGAGGGATGGGCCCATGTGGGTTAGGCGAAACCACAAGCTTGGAGATCAACTCATTCCGAGGATATCCAGTGTCGTCATATCTTGGCGATATGGTAAAATCATTTTGTTGCACTTTCCATGTAACAAACTAGGAAACATATCTGTTAGCCGATCGGACATACTGTAATCCTACACCCCGGACTATATAAGAAGGGGTAGGGGCCTCCCGATGGGGTCCCCATCTTCTACATTCTAGCGCATAGCTATAGGCAACAACACTCTGTCACTGAGCATACGAATACAAAGAGAAGCTACTTCAAACTGGACGTAGAGCACCACGTGCCTGAACTAGCATAATCCCTATGTCTTGTGTTCTATACATTTGATTCCCTGTATGCGAATATGCTGTAAGGTATTGCCGGAGCTAAATCTTTCGACACTCCCAATGGTCACCGACAACTATCAGAAACTAGCCATTGATGTTCTCAAAGCTCCAGTGCTCCTCTATGGTGAGCACCAGAGAGCTATAGTGCGTTGTATCTTCCCATGCGCATAGTTAAACACCCTCTCTGGAACTAAACTGTATATCACCAGAGTTTCTTGTGCGCTCCAAAGAGCTCTGCAGTAGCCTCTTAGGCCAGCGGTACTCTCCCGCGCCCATTGAGCCCTGAAGCTCTCTGCATAAGGGTTAAACCCTTACCTTTACTCTCCGGTGCACCTCACCGAAGAGCTCCGATGATCTCTTTTGTAAACTCATGCATTCCTCTGAAGAGCTCTGATGATCTTTTTTGAAAATTCTCACTTTCCTCTGATCACTAACATGTGTCCCAACCTTATTAGAGCCTAAACTCCAATGGTTGCACTCCGGTGCCCACAAGGAGTCAGAGCTCACACAAAACACTCTCACTGTACACCACTATGTAGGGCCATGTGCTCTAAACTCCTGTGGATGTATTCCGGTGAGCGTAAAAACACTCCACCAAGCACTCCTATCAAACCTTTTTTCAAATGGATAACACCTTAGTGTCTTCCAAAGGATTACCAACACCTTTAACACTGATTTTGCATTTTAAAACATTTTTTCAAAGGGTTTTCACCCATGTCTCAAACTGTCGCTTGGATCTAAATGCAATGCAAGTTAGACCCCATGAGTGGCACTAGATAACTATTATGTAAAACACTTCTTCCCCTCTTGATAGTACAACTATATATCTTGCCTAAACCTAGGCAATGCACTTCTCTAAACACCTAGGCTAGTGAAATGAAATGTCCTATATTTGACACCTTTGACATGCGCAAGTCCATTCTAACTCTAAGTCAATGCCCGCAAGCATACATTTTCCATATCATCCACTTCATTCTGATATCCACTGGTTATTCACATATGAATGAAGTCCATCTAAGCCACATCATTTGATTGTTGCCAACACTTGATGATCTTTCAATCTTACTCATTCGAGCCACTCGACATCCATCCATGGTATCAACTCTTTGGCTCCTTCCTATGAATGACATGAATCACTTCGTAGCTTTATATGGCCTTCCGAGTCCATCAACCTAAGCCTTACTCACTCTTCACCATTGCTTCGGCCATTCATGCCAAGCTCTGTACTCGCACTTTGTTGACGGTCACTAAACCCTAAATCTGACCGTCAATATCTCTAAAATAAAGTGAAGGATATAGCATTCTCATGGCATTTCATTTCAAATAAAGTCCATATTATGTTATGTCATTTCATGCTCTAAATATTATCTATAATACATTAGTACTCCCATATCCTCAACGATATAATTTTTTGGGATGGTACTAAACCAAGCCAACTATACCACACATGGGCATAGGTATTTACTTTCACCTGCCTTAAGGTGCTATAGGATTGTGTAGCTAAGGGTTCAATGAGAACAGGTGTGCAAAGTATAGTTACAGCTCAGGTCCTTACGAGGAATGAACCCTTATACGTATAACGCATCATTTGTATTTCAGTCCTCACTTTGTCAAAAAAGATTAACCTAGAGGTGCTTTGTTTACGATGACAAGGATTACATTCTAGCTCTCACTATCTCACCTTCCTAAACTTCCATTGTCATAATAAATCTAACTACAACTAAAACCACACTTGAGCTATATGGGCAAACTACACAACTACTACAACCTCCTAATGTGCCCTGTATTACAGTTATCTTCCATTAATGATTTTAGAGCAAATTTTCTTTACTAGTAAATGAAACCAAACAATAACAAACTAAAATTACAAACCACGGTTATCTGCTTGATTTCTTTGACCACTACCATTATGAGCGCTATCCAAAGTATTAGGCTATCCTCTACAACAGCTAATTACAAAAGCCGGATAGAATTTGCTTGGTTTTTCCTACTGAAAAACAAGGCACTACAAAAAAATTTCAAATTAAACTCACTTCTTTTGGAACAATACAGATTTCACACAATACGAAAAAAACAAATACATTTGTCACACCATATGTATCAGAATAAAAAAGGGTGAAAAGAATTAATAGTTGCAACCATTGTTGCTCTTATGAGCATAGCAGCGCACAACATCTCTCCTCCTAGAAACAGAAGAGCGCATCAGACACCATCCTTCCCCTGATTTTGAAACAATACAAATTCCACACAACACAAATAGTAAAGTAATAAGTTTGTCACACCATATATGTATCATAACTCATAAGTAGAAAACAGAAAAGGAGCGCTGGGAGAATTAACAGCTGCAACTTTCAAAGCATTGTAGCTTCCATGTCTCCATGAGCATAACAGCATGGCATCTCTCTTCTTCTAGAAAAAGAAGACCACATCAGAGACACCATCCTTCTGGTTCCACGTCACATCGACCAACAGCTTCCCGCCATTTTCCCATTCAAATTCAGCCTCACAGCCATCCACAGGCTCTTCTTTGGTTCCACATCAGAGTACACCAGCAGCCGTCCTCCACCCTTCACCTTCACCCTCACCTCGCTTCCACTGCTGTGCTCAACATCAACGATGGCGCCTCCACAGTTTAGCAAGTCAACCAGCCCGATCGGCGCAAAGCATGCTTTGGCGGCACCACCGACGATGGTTGTGACCGGAGCAAACGTGAAGAGCTCAAAGGACGATGGCTGGAGGGTGAACTGGATGGGTTCTGAACCTGGTGTCATCAGGAGGAACTCCTCGGTTTGGCATCGGTAGACAGCGTATGATGCAGCTTTTACCATGGCCGACGTGTCTTCCCTCTGGCCCCACTCAACGTCGGCAGGCTGGACATTGCCGGAGACTGGCTTGTAGCAGTGTGAGTAGCCTCGGACACGGTGCTCCACCGGGTCCCACCCTGCTCCCTGGCAGTTGACCCCTCCAAACTGCAAAATTTGGACAGTTTCAGAACTCTGGGCACTACATGCCACTTGGAATCCTACTTGTCAAGAGAAACAATTCAAGGGATGCAGGAGATATTTAAGTTTTATAAAATTAATCAAATATCTTACGTAAGTCAATTTGAGGTGGCAGCATACAGTAAGAAATGGTATGGAACATTAAGAAAAGCTGACCTTGTTCAGGTTCCAAATCTTGAGGACAGCCTGCTGATCAAAGAGCGGATTTTTGAAGAGGCAGTCTGGTGGGGAGAGCATAGTGCAGGCACCTGGGCACGGTGCCGTCGGGGAAGACGAGCCGCCTGAGCAAGGCGAAGTCGTGGCTGCTGAGGAAGTCGCTGACGTAGACGGGGCCGCCGCAGATGGCCCTGGACGCGGCGTGGAAGGCGGCGCAGGCGTGGTCGGACTGGAACATGTCCTAGTCCGGGGAATGAGATCATCTGCAGTTGGCCAGAGAACTTCTCTCTACGGTTGCTGGAAATCTGGCCACCCATTCCTATCTAACGGTGACCAAAGCATATACAGATGCCCCCCCTCAGCTCGCTGGGCCTGGCCCAATATCACGTAGCCTTTCACGTACCAGAGACTCGGTATTTTATTTCCTGGCGCGGCTGCTCGCCACTTTTGGCGCCGGGACTATGTTTTTGGAGCGAAGGGAAGCGCGGCGGCGATCGGACTATGCTGCTATGGTGCTCTCCATCCATAAGCAGGTGCATCTCCCATACAGGAAGTAGAAGAGGAGTGCCGACACCAACGGCCGGCGCGCCGCGCCTGCGAGGGCTGCATCGCCGGCCCGGTGCCGCGCATGATGAGGGAAGGGAGCCGCGCCGATCTGGTGATGCGCTGGCGAGATGGGACCGCCGCGCCGACCTACTCACTGCAATGGCGAGGATGGTGCCACGGCGCCGACCTGCTACTGCGCAGAGGAACGCCGCTTACTGCGCTTGGAGAGGACGGATCGCGCGAGATCCGGCGAGATGGGGCTGGCAGCGCGGAGCCGCCCGCCGCAGGTGCCGCGGACAGCACGAACAGGCTGCGCTCGTCGCCCTCCACGACCAGCGGCGGTGGTGCAGCTAGCTGCGGCTGCGGCTCCAATGACGCCGACGCCGCGCCGGAACACGGAGCGGGAGCGCCTTCCCGTAGGTGGGGGGCGTGTCGAGGGCGGCGTGGTCGACAAATGAGGTGGTCGCGAGCCTCGGCGGTTTGGCCGTGAACGGCACCCGCCACCGTGCGATTGTTGTAAAGAATAAGCATGTCGTGTTTAGCATAGGATGCTAGTTTTCTTTTTTCGGTACATCCTAGTTTTCAGCTAGAGTTTGGCTTGGTCACGGTGACCATGCCGAGTCGTGTCTTGTCTCGGGCGTTTTAAGTGGCGCACGTCGCCCACATTCTGTGGCCGTGGGATGGCACGGTGAATCCGCGAGGCGTGGCGCGCGAAGCGATCGTTGAAGACCGCTCATCTTGTATCCGTGTGCAAATAAAAAAAAAAAAAAAGAAAAGCGTTGAGTTGAGTTGCGCTGCGCCAATCTCTGTGTCTCGACCCTTGAACGCGAGTTCATCCGTTTCATCCCGAGTTCGCCGAGAGCCTGAGAGGAAAGAGCGAGCGTCCCAACGACAATTGAGATCGATCCTAGTTCAACAACTCCCACAGGTACCGGCCCTAGTTGAGTTGCGCTGCGCCAATCCTGTGTCTCGACCCTTGAACGCGAGTTCATCCGTTTCATCCCGAGTTCGCCGAGAGCACGAGAGGAAAGAGCGAAAGCGTCCCAACGACAATTGAGATCGATCCTAGTTCAACAAGCGGCATCGAGCCCGATTTCGTCGCTGGGATCGTCATCAAGCGATCACCGCAGCGTTCATGCCGAGGAATTCGCGGAATTCCCGATCGCCGGGGCGCCGGCGGTCTTGGAGTCCACCCGGCGGCCGCGCAGGAGGCAGCGGCGGGGGTGACCGTGGGCTGGTGCTTCACCGCACGACGGCGGTCAAGACATCGGCAATGCCGGGTGGCCTATGTTGACGAGAACTAACTACACCGGATCGGGCGGCGCCGATGAAGGTGATGCTCCGGCCGGTACTGTGGGGCGCCATCAACGCTTATTCAACGATTTCACCGACGACCGCAATGCGCTGGAGGCATTGTGCAAGTCGGTGCCGGAGGAGCTCCGAGGGAGCATGGCCAACAAGACCACGGTGAAGGCCGCGTGGGATGCGTTGAAGACAAGGCACATCGGCGTGGATCGTGTGAGGAAGGCCAGGGCGCAGTCGCTGCGTCAGGAGTTCGGCGACCTCGTCTTCAAGGAGGGCGAGTCCATCGACGACTTCACGTATCGCATCACCAAGATCACCGATCAGCTCGCCGTCTTGGGTGACGTGATGGAGGAGGAGACGATCGTCCGCAAGTTCTTGCAGGTCGTCCCCGATCGGTTCGGTCAGATCGTGGCGTCGATCGAGACCCTCCTCGATCTCGAGGCGGTCTCACTTGAGGAGCTGGTGGGGCGGCTCAAGGCAGTTGAGGAGCGCCTAGATCGAAGGAGAGGCTGAGGCGGCGCTTCCGGCAACGGCGGCGCCGGAAAGGAGATCGACGGCAAGCTCTACTTCACCGAAGAGCGATCTTGGCCCGGTTATGCCCCGCCTCAACCTCAACAACGACGGGCCGGGCGCGCATGGCAGGGCGCAATCTGGCTCGGGCGCGCGCCGTGGCGGAGGTGGCCGCGGCAGGGGGCAGCCGCGCTCGGGGCCGTCCAAGGGCGGCAACAGTGGCAACGGCGACGACGACGCGTGCCACTACTGCGGCAAGTCCGGGCACTGGAAGCGGGAGTGCCGTAAGAAGAAGCGTGACGAGGAGAAGGCGGCAGCAAGCCAGCCGCAAGCCAACCTTGCCCAGGCGGAGGAGGAGTCGCCCTCCCTATACATGGCAGTGGTGACCCCGGCGGAGGACAACGTCCGCCGCATGCACCACGTCGAACACGTCTTCCTCAACGAGCGCAAGCTCGTGCCAGACATGGAGGAGGGTACCGTGCACGGGGAGATGAAGTGGTACCTCGACACCGGGGCATCAAACCACATGACGGGCGATGCAAGCATCTTCTCTGAGCTGAACCATGGCGTCATCGGATCCGTGAAATTCGGTGATGGTTCACTGGTGGAGATCGCGGGGCGTGGGACTGTGTTGTTCGAGTCAAAGGACGGCGGTCACCGGGCGTTCCACGACGTCTATCACATCCCACGGCTCCGGAGCAGCATCCTCAGCATCGGCCAGCTGGACGAGAACGGCTGCAAGATCGACATTGACGACGGCGTTCTTCGGATGTGGGATCATGGGAGCCGGGAGCTGTTGGCCAAGGTGAGGCGCACAGTGAACCGCCTCTACATCCTTCCACTCAAGCCCACCAGGCCAGTGTGCCTGGCCGCGAGCTACAACGACGACGAGTGGAGGTGGCACGCCCGTTTTGGCCACCTGGGGTTCCAAGCCCTGCAGAAGATGAGCAGCAGTGGCATGGTGCGCGGACTACCCTCCATCGAGCATGTCGAGCACGTATGCGACGCGTGCCAGGCGGGGAAGCAGCATCGAGCATCATTCCCGCAGGCGGCCAAGTATCGCGCCACGAAGCCCCTTGAGCTGCTCCATGGCGACCTGTGCGGCGCGGTGACACCTCCAACACCTGGTGGTAAGAAGTACATCATGCTCGTCGTGGATGACATGTCCAGGTTCATGTGGGCGACCTTGCTCGCCAACAAGTCCGACGCCAAGGCAGCGTTCAAGCGTCTGCGCGCCGGCGTCGAGAACGAAGCAGGTCGGCGGATCCAGGCGTTCTGCACTGATCGTGGGGGGGAGTTCGTGTCGGCGAGCTTCCTCGAGTACTGCTCCGAGCACGACATCAAGCGACACCTGACCGCGCCGTATACTCCATAACAAAACGGCGTGGTACGGTACCAAGCCGGCAGTTCACTTCCTGCGCGTGTTCGGCTGCGTCGCCCATGTCAAGATCATGAAGCCGAACGCCAGGAAGCTGGATGACCGAAGCAAGAAGATGGTGATGATCGGCTACGAGGAAGGCTCTAAGGAGTACAGGGTGTTTGACCCTACCGCGAGCCGCGTGCACGTCACGCGCGATGCGATGTTCGAAGAGGGCGCAGCCTGGGACTGGAGCTCGCCCAACAACAGCAACAATGGAGCGACGGGCTACAGTACCAAGCAAGGTGAGTTCGAGGTGGAGGACGAATGGGAGATTCCTGGCGAGGAGGAGATCGTCGCTGTCACACCGGCGGGACACGGATCCGCAGGGACATCACCACTAAGCGGCACTGCATCACCTGCGGCCCCTGCGCCATCGCCCCACCTCCATCACCACCGACAACCATGGCACCGGGACCTGCATCAACGACGTCCTCGGCCACCACATCGCCACGCACGCCGTGGGTACAGGGTGGCCCCATACCCTGGCAAGGAGAGTTGCCGCAGAAGAGTCAGGCCCCTATCGAGTTCGTGTCTCCGACCTCTGGAGCCCTGGAGACACTGGACGCTGACGACGATAGCAACGCCACCCATCGCTTCAGGGTCGTCGACAACCTGCTGTACGACGACGACGAGCTTGTGGCGGACGGCGATCTGCTCCTTGCTGTGGACCATGAGCCTGCCACCTATGATGAGGCTGCAGGCGCGAAGGAGTGGCAACAGGCGATGGTGGAAGAGCTCAAGTCGATCACTGACAACAAGACTTGGACGCTCACTGATGCGCCGCGCGGTACAAAACCCATTGGGCTCAAATGGGTATTCAAGATTAAGCGCGACGCGGAAGGGAACATCACTAGGCACAAGGCTCGCTTGGTGGCCAAGGGATATGTGCAACGCGCAGCGTGATTTCGATGAGGTATTCGCGCCGTGGCTCGCCCTCGAGTCGGTGCGCGGTTCCTCCTTGCCATCGCAGCACATCATGGGTGGACGATTGCACCACCTCGGCGCCAAGTCTGCATTCTTGAATGGTGATCTGGCGAAGAGGTTTACATTGAGCAACCGCCGGTTTTCAGATCCGAGAGGAAAGGCGGAAGGTCTGAGTTGCACAAAGCGTCAGATGGACTCCGCAAGCCCCACGAGCCCGGAACGCCAAGTTGGACAGCTCACTGCGCAGAAGCTTGGGTTCAGGTGCAGCACGGCGGAGCACGCCGTGTATGTACGGGAAGCCGCAACACTTACTACTAGTGGGAGTCTATGTTGACGATCTCGCCGTGGTCGGTGCAAACCAAAGTGGAGGTTGATCGGTTCAAGAAGGAGATGGCCACACTATTCAGCATGAGTGATCTCGGTCCTCTCCATTACTATCTGGGGATTGAAGTTCAGCAGAGCACAAACGGGATTACTCTCATCGAGTGCATACGCAGAGAAGATCATCGAGAGGGTTGGACTCAAGGGGTGCAACCCATGCAAAGACTCCCATGGAGCCAAGATCGAAATCGAGCAAGTCTAGTTCCAATCCACCGATTGATGCTACTCACCGCAGATTGTCGCCGGGGAGTTTGCGGTACCGGTACATACACGGCCGACATTGCCTTCGCGGGTGGGCATGGTGAGCGGTACATGGAAGCGCCAACAACGGAGCACCGGAGCGCCGTCAAACATCTTCTCCGGTACATTGCGGTGGTCGCGCTCATGGTCAGGTTCTACATACGCGTGAGGGTGCGCCTGGAGTTGATTGGCTACAGCTGACGCCGATCTGGCCGGTGATCGCGATGATCGGAAGAGCACTTCAGGGGCTCTCTTCTTCCTCGACAGCCCCTGTGAGCCGGCGATCCACGTAAACAACGAGTGGTGGCGCTGTCATCATGCGGGCGGAGTACATCGCCGAGCTACCGCTGCATGTCGTGGAGTCGGCTCACGCCGCCGGCGATTCGACAAACAAAGCGGCCGTGGCACCGCCATCATACATCGACAACAAATCTGCTCTGCGCCGGCAAGGAATCCGGTGTTCCACGATCGGTAAGCACATTGACATCCGTTTTCACTTCATTCGTGATTGCATCAATTCCGGGGCCATCAAACGGATTACATCAGGATCGGTGAGCAATTGGCGATCGCTCACCAAGCCGCTTCCACGAGAACGCTTTTCAGAGCTGCGCGTCGAGCGCGGCATCGTCAATGTCTTCGTCGGCACGACATGATTAGGGGAGTTTGTTGTAAAGAATAAGCATGTCGTGTGTTTAGCATAGGATGCTAGTTTTTTTTTTCGGGTACATCCTAGTTTTCAGCTAGAGTTTGGCTTGGTCACGGTGACCATGCCGAGTCATGTCGCGTCTGGCGTTTTTTAATGGCGCCGCGCCGCCCACGCTCGTGGCCGTGGGATGGCACGGTGAATCCGCGAGGGCGTGGGCGCGGGCGATCGTTGAAGACCGCTCATCTTGTATCCGTGTGCAAATAAAAGAAAAAAAAACAAGAAAAGGCAGTGAGTTGAGTTGCGCTGCGCCAATCCTGTGTCTCGACCCTTGAACGCGAGTTCATCCGTTTCATCCTGAGTTCGTCGAGAGCCTGAGAGGAAAGAGCGAGCGTCCCAACGACAATTAAGATCGATCCTAGTTCAACAGCAGTGGCAGGGCGCGTAGGCGCACGCGTCCTGGTGCGCGGCAGTCGCGTGGTACGCGACGGAGGCGCCGCAGCCGTAGGACTTGAACGGGCACGGCACCCTGGCGTCGCCGACGAATAGGTCCAGCTCCGGCCCGCAGTGGGCGAAGGCGGTGGCGCGGTCGCACTTGCGGCAGTGGCCCCCATCGAGGCAGGCGCCGCACAGCAGGTGCCCGGCCTCGCACTGCAGCCAGCCAGAAGGATGAAGACGACACAGCCGTGGCGCAAAAGAATCAATCTTCGTTCTATCCAATCCAAGGCCATTGAAGGAAAGCAAACAAACCATCTGTTGCCTAGATTTGGTTGTCGTGACATCTCACCTTGACTACGGGAGGCTTGAGGGGGCGGTGGCACTCGGCGACGGCGCAGTGGAGCAGGCTCACGTCGACGCTGATGGTGATCCGCGGCCGCTCCAAGGCTTGGCTTGCCTGCTCGGCCGCCGTGGCTTCTTCGTGTGATCCTCCGCCGCCGTGGGCGTGGGCTACGCCTCCCTGCTCCGGTTCTTCCTTCACTCCGGCACTAAGACCGGGCAGCTGGAGCCGGACAATACCACCTTGGTCTGCTGCTCCTCGGCCATCTCCGTCCGCGTCAATGGACTACTAGTACTACTAGTATATTGGCCTGAGAAGGGGACGCTGGAGGAGACTTTATACGGAGGAGTACAATACAACCTCAAAACATTCGGAAAGATATTGGGCCAGGCCCAGCGAGCTGAGGGGGGCATCTGTATATGCTTTGGTCACCGTTAGATAGGAATGGGCGGCCAGATTTCTAGCAACCGTAGAGAGAAGTTCTCTGGCCAACTGTAGAGGATCTCATTCCCAGTCCGGGCGGATGAACTGCCCCATCCACAGGATGTTGTAGGCACAGTTCACCATGTGCGCGCCCTGCAGCCAGAACATGCCCATGAGGTCAGCGGCGGATTCAGGAAAAATTTTAGGGGGCTGAACAAAAGTGCGACAGCATCGTACCTCCGACTGCTGCTCGATCTTAAGTCTCAGCCCCACCTACGTAATAGAATTTTGCCTAAAAAATCATGGGGCTCCCGGGGGCTCCGGTATCGTTAGGGGGGCCGGCGAAGTTCTTGGCGACGGACCTGGACAGGTCGTCGTAGTAGGCTTTGGCGACCTCAACGCGCCCGCCGTGCTCCTCGCAGACGTACTCCAGCATCTGCACGACGTCGACTTTGACGCCGGTGACGCCCGCGCTGGCGAGGTACGAGTGCATTGACTCGTAGAGGTCGCCGGCCTGGTCGGGGCGCACCAGCCCGATCCCGCCCTCGAGGATGCGGTCCACGGCGAGGTCGTCCATGGTGCCTGCCAGCCCTGGCGACGGCCGCGCCGGCACGACTCGCGCGTCCAGGTGCGTCGCTCCGGGGCGCACCCCGCCCCACGCGCCGCACAGCGCCTGCCACATGTACACGTCGTCCGGTCCGGGGAACCTGCGCCTCATGTCCTTCAGGAACGCCTTCAAGCGCAATTCGCCGTGGCCGTCGCAGGCGCTGCGCGATCTTGGCGTCAAAGCTGGAGAGATCGGTGGCGCCACCCTGCGCCGCCTTCTTCTTCGCCTTCCCGGCGTTCTCGATCTCCCTGGCCTTGCGCACGATGGCCTTGGGCATGCTCGCGTCGTAGAACAGTTCCGGCGGGCGGCGGATCAGGGCGCCCTCCCTGTACCCGCGGAAGCGCGGGCACTCGTCGAAGCGGTACAGGCGCGCGGTCATCTGTTCGCCGCCGAGCACGAGTCCCGGCGCGTCCTGGTGCGGCGGGTCATCGTCGCGGTTCAGGCTCTGCCATCCGTCGTCGATGACGAGGAACCGCGGGGGCACGCCGGCGTCGGCGAACTCTGACACGCCCTGCCAGACTCCCGCCGGGTCGACGGTGAGGTAGAAGGCGTCCCACGTGCACCACCCGAACCGGTCGGCCATCGGCGGCAACGCCTTCTCCTGGATTAACCTGCGGTGCGGTGTGGCGCGCGTTCCAGATCCAGAGTTAATCGCAACCGTCCGATGGTGAAATCAAGGGCCGGAAATTTTGTACTAGCACGTAGCAACCTGAACGTGCCGAGGTGCACCCTGGCCGCGAGGTAGGCTTCCTGCATGACCCTGTAGGGGTCGTCGCCGGCGTGCACGTAGGCGATGCGGTGGAAGTCCGTGGCCGTCACGGAGGCAGACCCGCTCTCGGCGCAGATGACGACGCCGTCGTCCTCCTCAGGGAAGATGGCCGACCGGAAGCTCCCCTGCACGAGTGGGAGAACGAACACGTACCCCGCGCCGGCGGCGCCGGCGAGCTCTTGCACCTCGAGGAGCACCCACTGCGTCTCCATCTGGCTGTCCCGGCCGCGCCGCCCCGCCCACGCCGTGCTCCAGCACGTGTTGAACCGGAACACGCTGAGGAACCGCCGCGGGCCGGGCAGGCGCCCCACGCTGCACGGCGCGCGGCTCGCCGCCGCGGGCAGCGCGAAGCCCAGGAACGCGCCGCGGTGCGCGTTCGACGCGGCCTGCCTTGCCAGCTCCTCCGGCGCGTCCGACGCCGCCTTGGTGGTCGGGTCGAAGGCCTCGGCGAACGGGGTGAGCGTGACGTTCCCCGGCACGCCCGTGAGGAGCGCGGCGGCGGCCTTGCTGCCGTCGTTGCCACCGCCGCCGACGGTGAGCTCGCCGTCCCGCAGCGAGAAGAGGCACGGCGACGCCGATGACGATGCCGTGTTGGGCGTGGGCTTCGGCTCGTTAGGCGGCGCCATTGGCAAAGCGACGACGACCAAGGACGATAATAGGGTCGCTCGGGCGGTGTATGGCTGGCTGTTCTCTATGCTATCCGCGGGCAGGTGCCATTATAAGCGCGGCCGGCGGGCCGCTGTAGCGTCGTGGATGAGTAGATGCGGACGACGGTGGTTCTTTGATTTGTGCGTCGTCGTGTACGTTCGGTAGCTGGTAGGCGACAGTGTTTGCAGAGCATTTTGGCATTGCATCTGGAAGACGTCAGGAAGGCTTCCTTTGGGAGGAAGGGGCACCCCAGCCCAGGGGACAGCAGCCCCGACGGGGATTTTTGTGGAGGATCGATTCCCAGGGTGGCGTTCCCCTTCCCCCGTTGCTGTTTGGAGGAAGGGCCAGATTATCCCAGGGTGTTTGGCTGCTGTCTGCTGAAATGCAATCATGAGATGCCTGAATTTTCTGAACTTGAACGTTGGGTTTTAATATAAGAACACTATGCTTTCGAGTTCAAATAAACAAAAGAAAGAGATGTTCACGGCAGCAATGAAAGCAAATTCAGAAATTAGAAAAAAAGGAAAAATTGAGGAAAAATCAACCGAAATTTAGGAAGAACAATAAAATAGTAAATATGTTAGTGCAGATTATGGAAAACTAAGTATCACAGTAAAGCCAGGAACATATTCTATATCACATCACTATTGCGAGGAAACTTATCTCTTTTTGCCCAGGAAGATGAAAGACAAAGGAACAAATTCATTATCTCTACAGACAAATATATACTTGAAATTAAACAAGTCAAATCATGCAAAAAGTACAAGGTACAAGGTATCATACATCCAAGTTACTCCATGGCACTAATACATAAGCCTCTCTCCATCTTCATATCAAGGTGAATAATACAAATGTATCTTTGGTCTGCAAGGATCCTTGCAACTTACCTCTCATTTCAATCGATATAGTAGTTTACCTCTTCATGATAATACACATGCCCACCTGTCTCTCTTACATAGTTTTTCGGTTCTTGTGTCTAAGCTGGCTGTAAGCTTACAACCCGTTTCTCCTCTCTTTCCTCTCTTCTCTCCTCTACGTCAGCATTCAGCCTGCTTACAGCCTGCTATTATACTTGCTCTTACACGCACACACATAAATAATAATCATGTAAGCATGAAGCACTAATCAAATGCCAAACCTACTTACTGCACAAGGGAGCTAGCAAGAAATAAAGCAGTCCTGACTTGAAAGAAGCTAACATCAACCTATATATATCAGATTTTTAAAAAGAAGCGAGAAGAAAGCATTAGCTTCATATAATGATGCTAAGTTGGATGTATCACAAGACTGAACATGAATCAAGTATTATATGCATGTGCTACTTCATAAACACCATGCATAAGCTAGAATGATTAATGAAGTAGAGATGGAAAAAAAAACAGTACTGCTTTACAAGTTGGCTAAGAATCATATGGAAATGAAAAAGTTAGGGAAACTAGTGGCCGTGTTAGCTGCAGGTGATTGCAGCCATGGCCAATCCAGTATATACATGCTAGTTATTTACATGATATTTCCCATGCGCCGTTTCATAGAGGATGTCATGCTGGATAAACTTGTTATCTGTGCGGGCATTTACTCTTTGTTGTCGAAAACTCTTCTATGATGCTCTTTCCACAGGTTCCGGATGGTGTACAAGACAACTTCAGCATGCTTTCTATCTATCCCCAAACTGCCCAATTCAAACATAGCAGGTTGTCAGTAGGTTAAAAAAGCAGAACTGTCACTTAGTAAATGTCCTCTAGGTGCTATCAAATTTGGATTTGGCGAACGAATTGCTAGATCGGCTGCTAGAGGGGACCAAATTCTTTCTCAAACTTTGCCATGCATGCCTAATACCACACAAAAAGCTCCAGCTTTTAATGCAAAATGCAGTTTTCTTCTGAAAGTTTAGAAACTATATGATTTAGGAAAATAATTACTCTTCTTCAAGACACAACAGTTCCCGTGTGTCCACCACCTAAACCAAGTAATAAGGATGAGAGAGAAATTGTAAAGGAAAGGCAAGCAAATACTACAAGAAAAGTGTGCACTACTAGAGAACAGACTTTAGAACGATATCCCAATTTAGCATTAGTCTCGGCATTTTTTGTCCCCGGGACTAAAGGTTCCTTTAGTCCCGGTTGGTAATACTAACTGGGACTAAATGTTCCTTCACTCCCGATTGAAACCACCAACCGAGACTAAAAGTCCTCCAACCTTTAGTCCCGGTTGTTAATACCAACCGGGACTAAAGGTAGACCCTTTAGTCCCGGTTGGTAACACCAACCCGGACTAAAGGTCCCCCGATGGGTTAGTTCAAAAGGAAAGCATCACATCCATTGTTAGATATGTTGTGTAGGTGGGGTAGTAAGCTCGCGCGAGGCAGTGCATGAGGTCTTGGGTTCGAATATCATAGGGCGCAGCGGTGGGAGGCATTATTTTTTTTAAGCTGGGAGGATCTTTAGTCCCGTTTGTGGCAAACCGGGACTAAAGAACACCACATTTAGTCTCGGAACGCTAGTCCCGGTTGGGAAACCGGGACTAAAACCAGTTCCCAACCGGGACTAGATGTCAGTTCTGTAGTAGTGGTGGGTGCTTTATAGTTTCACAAGACACCAACTCCATGAAGGCCCAAAGTGCACAAGCCAAACTTAAACTACAAGGAAATTTTGGCCCCATTCATAAGAACAAATTAAAAAAGAGATAAATCATAAAGGAATTTTTGGACCCTTGCATAAGCGTGCCAGTAATGATCATCATGATCTGCATTACGCCTCATTGGGCCCATTATTTTTTTAGATATTAGATTGTTTGCCAAACTGAACTTAAATCGAAGACATCAAATATTATGCACACTTGTCCTAGAACTGTCATTAGAAATACTAGTTCACCAACCCGTGCTCTCGCACGGGTTAGAATCTTAGGAGACACTAACTAATAAAAATTACTAATATATTATATTTTTCCTCTTTACTAACATTTAAAATAATAGCCACAATAGGTACTCTATAGTCTATATCAGTTGTGATAATCTATTAATTATTAATTTTAGTGTATTTATCATCTATATCTATCGTTTTTTTGCTTTACATAGCACCTAAATTTTGACTGTTTTTCCCAAATTTTGAGCTTATTAATTGATACAACAACTATTATTCGCAACGGTGATTATGGTCTACCAATTTGATGGCAAAATGTTTAGATTTTTGTAAGAATTTTAGGAACTATCTTTTTTATTTCTAGCGGTTTCATGAGTCATAATTTGTAGGATTAATCTTTTTTAGCAGGATATGTATTTCGTTGAAACATAAAATTAAAGTATATAAACTCTTATTTTGTCCCGTATTGTGATATCACAAAATTCTATATTTAACTTTTGGCTTTTGATCTAGTTGTTGTAATAATATCTTATTCACGTGTTAATATGAAATTCTTATGCTTATTGTATTGTTTATTCAAAATTTCCATTTTTATTTTTTGAAAAGAATATTCTAGGTCCTAGGCTACCCTCTTAGTTCTTACAATGGAATAAATATTTGTTTGAGCATGCACCACGGCAATCAAGATTTTGAATTTATTATATTGTATTATTATTGTTTTATCAAATAGTAATGCTTGAAATTAAATTACTAATATTCATAAGATATAATGTTTCAATCAAATTGTTTAAACTTTTTCAAGATAATGACTTACAAAGTTTATTATCATGAGTATTAATATAACTTAAAGTGAACTGTAAGTGTCGTTACTATGTGGTTTGCTAAGGATATTTTCCACACTTGATAAGCTTATAAAATAAATATTTATCCTAATGTATAGTCTATGCAGTGGAAGATAGCTTTGTGCATAGTTTTAACTGAATATTAGCTGAAGTGTTTATTTCAAATAGCTTTGTGGATATATTGTACTTATGGATGTTGAATTATTTTTCATAATAGCTTATATTAGCATTTACATGTAGATTTGATATATTTTTTGTTAAATTTTTATAACGGTTGAGATGGATAGTTTAGGTACAAATTATATTGGTATACATTACATTACATTATATTTCATAATGCTAGGTATGGGTAATTTGAATGCAATCATGGGGCTCAAAGCATTATCTTTCGTAGTGACAGAGATGGATAATTTATAAAAAAAAGCATTATGGGATCAGTTTAATTATATTTTGTAATTGTGGAGGTTTGAGTTTTTTCATATAGGCTTTATTGATAACTCCATGGATCATGGTCCCCTAATTTTTCAGCATCATTAACATGTAAACTCGAAGTAATCTAATGACATCTCTACTATAATGGACGAATCAAAATTATGCTCAGTCTACCCAGAAAAATGCTCCCCGCTGAGAACCTTCAACCATTATACACTAGAAAAATGCACATAAAAATTCATCTTCATTAAAATCAAGGACAAATAAAAGAACCAAATCCATCCGACGGCTGATCTTGGATGTGTGACGCCAGGCTTCTCACCCGCGCCCTCCGTCCCACGCAAAGCCGCCTTCAAACGCGCACGACACCGCGACCTGCCCCACGCACGCCCTCCTGCGGCGAGAGATCGAATCCCACTGGCAACGGAGATCACCGAAAAAAATACACGAAAACAAAAACCACAGAACACCGTCGAACCCTGCGGGGCCACCGCCGCGCCGATCGCAGGCCAGCCCGAGCGAACCCTGCGGGACCGCCGCCGCCTCTCCTCACCTCTCTCAATTCCCTTGATTCAGCTAGCGGATCCGCGTCTCGCCGGAGTAATACGCAGCAGCAACAGTAAGAGGCCATGGAGATGTTAAAGCGGAACCTGAAGCTGCAGGCTCGCCCTCGCTCTCCGCCTTCGCTAGCGCCGCATCCCCGCGCGCCTTCGACCAGGAGAACCTCCACCCCAACCTTGCCACCTCACCGACGGTGTCCGCCCGCTAAGGGTGCCTCCTCGCCACCGCCGAGGAGGATCACTCCACAGCCGCTACCACTGCGCCATCCACGACGAGCCCTCCGTC